TCTCTCCTCTTTCCTCTCTCCTCTCTCATCTTTTATCTTGCCGACCTCCAATCTCCGGCCTCCGCTGAACAAAAATCCGACAGATACCAAGTAATACAAAGATACATAATGTGATACCCATTGTCATATACAGTGGTACTCAAATAGTATCACAGTATATCACAATGGGTATCACATTGTGTATCTTTGTGATTACTTGGTACCTACCGAATTTTTGTTCACCGGAGGCCGGAGATTGGAGGTCGGAGAGATGAGAGAGGAGAGAGAAGAGAGGAGATGGGAGTTTTTTAAAAATAACTAAAATGCCCTCTAATTATAATTTTAACTCAAACTACCATAATTATTAATTTTCTAATTTTCTAATTTATCCGTTGATTTGTGGTTGAGATTGGATCTCATAGTTACCACAATCTAATCAGTTCTCTCTTGAGTGAGCTCTTATATATATATATATATATATATATATATATAGGATTGGGTTCACGTGAGACCAGACTATTTTCGAGACCCGTGAGACCACATTTTTACACTTAAAACTTCACAGCAAAAACACTGTGAAGGTTACCTTCACAGCATTTTGCTGTGAAGTTTCAAGTGTAAAAATATGGTCTCACGGGTCTCACGAAAACAGGCTGGKCTCACGTGATCCCAAGTCTATATATATAGACTTGGGATCATGTGAGACCAATGGTTTTTCGTGAGACCTATAAGACCAATTATCAACCTTTGGATTATATCTACAATCTGAACATTCATAATCACAAAATTGCCACGAGATTTCTCAATAATCACAAAATTGTCACCGTGCAACTTTAGACCATTAGATCATTAGCTTATAAAGTTAATCAATGAACATAAATTGGTTTTACAGGTCTCACGAAAAACCTTTGGTCTCACATGAACCCAACCCTATATATATATATATATATATATATATATATATATATATAGAGGAGCGATCAAATGAAAACCACTACAATTTGTAAAAACCTTAAAAACTACTCTCATCCGTCGTAATTAATCTTATGAAATTTTTTTCATGAAATTGTTTAATTTTGTGAAATTGTTTCATATAATACTTTTTTTTGATGAAGTTGTTTTATATATGGTTATGAAATTGTTTCATATACTACTTAATGAAATTTTAATGAAACTGTTTCATGTATTTATCTAAAATTAAAATAATAAAGATGATAATATCCATGATTAACATCTTTCACAATAAAAATGATTAATCAACCTCTTATAATTACGAAAAAATGAACAAAATAAAAAATTATGATTGGTGGAATGAGGTTTTTACGGTTTTTACAAATTGAGTGATTTTCATTTGATCGCTCCCCTATATATATAGCGGTCCAATCAATAAAGAACTCGATGGTTTGTGATAACTGTGAGATCCAATCTCAACCACACATTATTAATAATCAATGGTTATTATTAAACATATTAATTTTGGTAATTATTCATTAATTTTCAAATAATTTAAATTTACTAATAATATATAGGGGTAAATGAGTCTTTTTAAAATCTCTCTCCTCTTCGGCCAAGACTTTTTACAGTAAAACACAAAACAAATATGATACACGCTGTGATACCTAAGAATTTATAACAGTAAGACACAAAACCAATTGTGATACACATTTTGATACCACTGTGATAACGTTTTGAACATGGGTTGATAACGGATCTGATCTGAGTTTTAGGCCACATACAACCACAATGTGATACATTTGTGATACAGTTTTGTTGAGATAATTAAGGAAACCAGATTCTTGATAATTAAGGAAACCGAATTTGATAACTATTAAATAAGAAAAATATTTAAATTATAATTAATCATTTTACTAAAACGCCCTTTACCTATTAATTAAGGTTATACAATTAATATCATAAAATTATTGGCTCATATTGAACTTCATTGTTATCACAAACTAATTAGTTCTTATTTGATTAACCCTTGTATATATATATATACACTTTTGGGATCATGTGAGACCAAGATTTTTTCGTGAGACCCGTAAGACCAATTTTCAACCATTGGATTAGATTTACAATCTGAACATTCATAATCACAAAATTGTCACGAGACTTCTCAATAATCACAAAATTGTCACCGTGCAACTTTAGACCATTAGATCATTAGTTTATATAATTGATCAATGAGCATAAATATAATTGATCAATGAGCATAAATTGGTCTTACGAGCCTCACGAAAAACCTTTGGTCTCATGTGAAACCAACTATATATATATATATATATATATATATATATATATATATATTATAAAGCATTTGGCTAAAACTCTTAAAAACTCTTAAACTCTTAAAAACTCTTAAAACTCTTAAAACTCTTAAACTCGTTCATCCCTAAACAGTTTCATCCCTATCCGATTTCATCCCATAACTGAATTCGTGTAA